ACAGGATTTAACAGGACTAAATCCGGCTGCTTGGACCGTGTCTCCTCTTCTTCTATCAATAATATTTTTAATTTGGTTCAGTAAAGTCTGGGTTTTTACATTTTCTTTTATCAGATAAAACGTCTTATGTTATGATTTCCTCGTCTTTGTTTCTCTACAGCAAATGAAGTAATCCAAAGTATTCAGATTACGTTACTCACTTTAAGTAATTTAATGGATTATGTTACAAACTACATTTTGGGGTATGTAATCTGTAATCTGTAGGGGAATACATTTTAAACGTCACACTCCCAACACTGACTGTATATATAAATGGACATAGCTAACATGCTAGCTACCACATTCCACTTCCCATTAAGTTACATTGGAATAATTACCTGCTGCCGTGAAACTACTTATTTTGGTCTTAAAAAGTTCATATTAACTTGCGCTACATGATCCAGTTTTTTTTTTTTTTCTTTATCGCTGTCTTGTCCATCAAAAAAACCTATTTATAAACTCGAGCCTGACTCCAGATTCACTCCTATAACGTTAGCATTGTGAGCTTCATTTGATTGGCGTTAAACTTTATGGGTGACATCACACTCTCTTAGTCCACTTTTTATACAGTTTATGGGTGATACGCTCTGTGTCATTAAAGATGCATATGTCTATTTTGCACTATGAAAGAAACTAGTCCCACTCACTAAAATGGACAAAACCAGCACATCTGTGATTTTGTTTATTAAATATGATGTAATTCATTTTTTAAAATTTACATAAAAAACCTATGTTAAGAGACAATACACATAAGAAAGCTTGGTTTATGCATTATAAAATAAAAGTTGATGTGTTTGTCATAAGTAAGTGAATCCATAGGTGAAATGTGTTTATATAATTACATTTCATTGTAATTACTATGGGTTACAATGATATATTTTGACAATATGAGACATTTATTTGGGAAATGACTACTTGTTAACTGTCTTTAGTTATATTTCCAGTTGATAAGATAAATGTTTGTTGTATAACACCTATATAGGGATCTTTGTGTGAATCAAATTAATCTAATTGCAATTTCACATGAGAATTTGGAATTTAAAGCCTGTTTTGTGAATACAGGTCGGGCCTTTTTGACTTCATAGAAAAGTGATGTTTCCTGCCTTGGAGTCCAACGAGTTTGATGAGATGATCCATTGATGACGAGCCTCCCAGTTGAAATGTGAGCCTACCGCCCCATACGACGGATATGGTAGGATTCTTTTATATTGTTCCACCTACAAGCATATTTAACTACAATAACCTGTGTCCATTGGTTATTCCTATACTCTCAACACCTAGAGGTCGAAATGTGTACATACATTGAAGTGAGTTACATGTACATACAGTAGTATAATTATGCCTTATTTGACACCAGTCTCTTGCTACTTTTGCTACTTATTTTGAATCTATTATTAGCATTTATATTTTTGCCCTTTGTTACTATAATACAGTATATTTTGATGTGTGAGCTACTGTGACCAAATAATTTCCCTTGTGGATACAGTTTGTCTAAATCTAAGATGAGAGAGAATACGACCTTTAGTTGCTTAGTTGATCTGTTTGATTAATTTAGTTGCTGCAAATGGCTTCAACCAGGTTTTGAGAAGGGAAATTATAACGTGAAAGGTTGATTTTGCAGAATGATATGCTTTAATTTTCTATTTCCATGGAATCATGCAGGTAACTTTCCACCCTCCAGAAAGTTACTGTCACTTTAAATAAAGGTAAATAAAATGACATACACTGGAGTCAAGCATGAACAAACATGAGGTCTTTGGACATTAGATTTATTAAACAGAGACATGCACACCGTACAGTTTGTGTCATATGTGCCACTTAGATTAAGAGTTTTTCAAAACCTCACGCATGTTGGCTGAACATGTACTTTCTTGTAGGCTGACTGAAATTCTAGCAATGGTCAGACACACTACCAGTCAAAAGACACACCCCTCTTATTAATTGTTTTTTTTTCTTCTACTTTGTACATTTTATATACCTACGGAAAACATCAAAATATTGTACAGTAGTTGACTGAGTACAGTTCACCTGGTGCCCCCTGAAGGCTGCTATGACACTTTTGTCCTAAGGGCTGTTATAAATCTCAAACTGCCCTGACACTGGGTCTCACGACTCTACAGTTGCACTGAGACTTGTGTTTGAGCTTTTCTGTTATTATTGTGTTTTACTGCTCAGTGTGCTTAAACTGCCCCTCAGGGACAAATAAAATCATATTGATTGATTAAATATATGGTGCAAGATAAATTGAAATATGAAGCAAAGAAAAAAGTGAAATAACTCTAAATATGTTTTTATATTTTTAAGTAGCCACAAGGGATGTAACAATAACTTAAAATTCATTATATCGTATCGTCAAAGTTCTCACACTATTATCGTGGACCTTCAAAAGTGGAACTACATAGATCAGGGGTGTCAAACATACGGCCCGGGGGCCAGATCCGGCCAAGACCTTTAATCTGGCCCACGGCTGATTGTCTACTAAAATATTTTAATTATATTTTCTATTAAAATCTTGTTAATTTTCTGTGGTGTTTATCACAGCAGCGTCTCCAGTGTCTCTGTACGTGGCCCCTCCCACCAGAGCAGCACAAATGAAGACTTGTCTCTTTCCAAACGATCGTTTTGACTGTTGACCGTGACACCCTCATCAGCAAAATGTCCAAAATGAGAAAGCTGGAGCCGAGTGCAGGATTTTCTTAGAAAAATTTACTTATTCCTATTTGCATACAAGTTAATGTTAAAACATTGTGTTGAAATTGTATTTTTCTTAAAGTATCAGGTTGTTCATAATATTATAATATTTTGTAAAAGAAAGAGTTCATCAATTAAAAAAGATTTCTGTAATAGATTTTCATTTCTTGTCACAAATATTTGAACTTATTGCTATTTTTGGGGTTTATATGGCATGAGTTTTCTGATCCGGCCCCTTTGGGATCAAAGTCAGTTGGATATGGCCCCCGGACCAAAATGAATTTGACACCCCTGACATAGACCATGATCCTTTGCTCTATTTCAGTGCAGACTACAAGAAGAAATAACAGTTCTAAGCACTTTTGTGTCTTAGTTCTTTGGACTAAGTCTTGTCAAGACATTTTAAGAGGAGAAAGTTCCATATTAACAGTTTTGTTTGCCTCCACAAAATATCGCAATAAATAACATACCATGAGATGTATATCATGAAAATAACGTACTGAAAGATTTGGATATTGTTACATCCCTAATCATGAGCCTCCCCACCATATCATGAGTTTTCCCACAATATTTCAATAAATATCATACCGTGAGGCTCATATGTGACGATATCGTATCGTGAGACTTGGATATTGTTACATCTCTAGTAGCCACACTTTGATTTGTTGACAGCGCTGCAAAGTCTTGGCCTTCTGTCAGTGAACTTCATGATGAAGTCTCCGGAAATAGTTTCTACTTCACAACTGCACCGTGTAAAGGTCAAGAAATACCGAAAGTGTAAAACTGTGAGTTATTTAGTGCATGTGTCATTCATAGTTTTGATGTCTTCATTGAGAATCTAGATTGTAAATAATCATGGAAATAAAGAAAAGAAAGTTTTTAAGTTAGCAAATTGAACAATTTGTTTTGTGTTTTGTCTTCAATTCATTAATTTCATCTTTTATCTGCAGGGCTTTAAGAGCTATATTCTCCATAGAACCGTAGCCATGTTGGTGTTCCATGTTCATGCTTTCTCTCTCATGGCGTTGCTTTAGAGCTAATATATCCTCATTATGCCTCTCCAATAGAGCGTCAAAATCTCGAGTGTACTTTTCCTTAAACTCATTGAATCTTTCTGCCTCTTTTCGTACCTCTTCTTCATATTTGAGCATAATGTTTGCCAACTCTTCATAATAATTTTTTTGTAGATCCTGCATCTGTTCTTCATCCAGCTTTTGGGGGATTTGATCTTCTTCGTTCTTCCCGCTGATGATTGTTTCCTTAGGAGGTATTTTTTCGACTCTTTCCTGTTCCATTCTTCTCCTATTCTCCTCAACTTGGTTTAACCACCAGTCTTCCTTTGCTCTGCCTTGGGCATTCTTCACTTTTCTCTGCTCTTCCCAACTCTCATGTATTTGCGTCCCTTGTTGTCGTAGTTCTTCTATTTTTTGTTTGTGTTTATACTGAAGCTCCTCCTCCTCCTTCTTGATCTCCTCCTCCTTCCCTCGCAGGAGTCTCTCCATCTCCTCCTTTATGGCCTGCTCTGCCTCTTGGAACATCTCTGTTGTGTAGTAGCTCCCTCCGTTTTCCAACACCATTTTGTTGGCTTTTTCCATGAGTTGTTGAACCTGTGACCTATTGTTTTTCTCTCTATTGTTAAAGACCTGGAACCTCCCTCCGCACTCTTGAATAAATTCCTTTAATCTTTGATCTCCCTCAATGAAATCTTCAATGGACTTTCCCTCGAGGGCATCTCCTCTAGTGAAGAGAATGATGATAAAGGGGCTTGATTTTTTGCCAAAGTACGTTTTGACCAGATCCACTGAGTCACTCTCTTCTTTTGTGAATCGGCCGATCTGTAGCACCAGTAAGAAGACATGTGGTCCAGGAGCCAGCAATGTGACGCATTTTACAAGCTCCTCTTGCAGCTCCTCATTGGACAAAGATGTATCAAATAAACCAGGAGTGTCAACAACAGCAACCCTCTGTCCATCAACATCACCCTCATCTTTCATGCAGATTCTGGTGACAGATTGAGGGTGGGCGTAAGATTTGAAACTCTCTCGGCCCAAAATTGTGTTGGCAGTGGCACTTTTTCCATTGCCAGTTTTCCCAAAGAGCACAATCCTCAGACACTCCTGTGGCAGGTGTGGCTCCACATCTCTATGCATCACCACAGTCTGACCTGTGCCTTGGTCTTTAGAGAGGGTGAGGGTTCAAATGATCTGCGTCGCTTTCTTTCATCATGTTACAGATTTTTGAAAACAGCTCTTCAACTTTCAGATTCAGATCAGTTAGATACATGTTATCCATCCACATATATATCTGTTCTTACATTTGGTGATCAAGTCTTTTATATGTGGCTCCCTCATGTATTTCTCCATGGAGTCTGGTGTCACTGCTTGTGTACTGGACATCAGCACCAGTGAATGCTGGAAGTCCTGCTCACCAAGGTTCTCCAGGACTGACTCTAGTATGCATTTGTGTTGATCAGTGAAGGCTTCAGGCTGTACAAACAGCAGGAACACATGAGGACCAGGGCCACTCTGATCTTTAATGTCTTGTATTAACCAACTGAGTCCTTGAGAGGCAGTGAAGAGCAGCTGGTCATGAGTGTAGATCACAGTCACCGGATTGTCATTAAATCTTCCTCTGACTTTTACACATGTATTATGTTGATTGAACTTTTTTTTTTCCCAAAAGGAAGTTTCCCACTGAGGCCTTCAGACGCGGACTTTTCCCCAGAAGAATCAGCTTCAGCTCAGACACTGGAATGAAAAGATTTTTTACATTCATGAGAATTATGTTGAATTAATGTGTAGTTTGTTATTATTTATAAATAAGAAATACTGATAATCCCTATTTCAGTGGGACATAGGAACTCTCCCTCCTGCCAAGAAATTTGGCAGAGGGGAGGTAACCTGTGCTTTCCTGTCTATTAGGCTACGCTATCAATTATGCACAGGAACCACCTAGTTGGTTGTAATCATAGACTATATATATAAATGGACATAGCTAACACACCTGTTGCCACGTTCCAAATGGGAAATGGAAAAGTTTACATGTGGGCTCTTCCGGTTCCTTCCGACTTGACCTATTGACTTACATTGGAATCTTGTGGCTCCTCTCTCTGTACCTGCTGCTATGAGCCTCATCATTTTGGTCTTAAAATGTTTGTATTAATCCACTTGACTAGTGGAGCTGTTAAGGACCAAAATGGTTCACTTTTATGGTACAAGCATGATGCCACATTAGTAACACCACCAGGACTATTATTTCTGGATATGGAACCAAGTCTAATTCAACACTGGAGTTCAGAACTGCACATGTCACAAAATGGACTATATGAAAACGAGGCTGGCATAAAAAAAATACTGCATAATCCTTTTCTTATCATCTAAGTTGCTTAGTTATCCATTTTTCAAAGCAATATTTATTGGGTTTTTGATAACAAAAACAATTTAAACATCTCTAAAGATCTGTAAGTGTCTTATCATGTTTGACA